ACTGTTTGTCATAAGCATTTGTTGATTGTCTTGGAGGATATGGAAATACGAGCATTAGCGTTGGATCTTTGTAAAGATTACCTTGATAAAAGACAACAACAAGTCAAAATAAATAACAGTTTTAGTTTTTTTAAACAGTTAAATATGGTGTACTACAAGGAACAATATTAGAGCCATTTGTTTTTTGGTTCTACATAAATAATTTGCTTTCAATTGGAACTACAGGAAAAATTTGCCGATATAGCTCAATGTCATGAAATAGACAGACAGAGAGTATCTTACTAGGTATACATTTGTAATTAATAAAATTGTGAAGCTGTATTTGGTTGGATGTTTCATATGGATTGCCTCTATTGTTCACAAAATCACAGTGTACATTAATAAAGATGTTTGTATGCAAGTTTCCTGACAAATAATGGTAAAGAGTAGTCTTATTGTAACCAGTAACACAACCACTAAGTGTTTCTCGGAAACAGTTGCATATTTCTAGAACTTTGTGATACACCAAATCTCATTATGTCATATACATTCTTTACTTTGTTTATTCTATTATTTTCTTAGAAATCGTTAGATTGTTCTAATTTTATGTCTGTTGAACTGCGCTAAATAGTCGTTTGGTTTATCTAACTATAAAATGACCTGCTATAATTTCTGATACATTTCAGGATGCTGTTCCTCTAGTCATCTCATTTTTTATACTGACAAATTCACAAAATACAGTTAAAAGTGTTGAAACAGTTATTTCTGCCGACCGGATTACGCTATGTAATAAAGAAATTTTATAAAACTTTTCTTTAATAAATATATCAATCAGACAACTTCACAAAGTATTTTATTCAGTTCCTTGCCTTAAAAAAATATACTAATACACCTAAAATGATAAGTATGGTTGCCACTGGAACAGAAATATAATAAAAGAATTATATTGGTTTAGGTCGTTTCACAAAATGGCTTCTAAAACACCCGGTCCAGAATATGGTGATCCAACTTTTTATGACTCTCGTATGTACTTCACTCGATTCTGTTGGTTAGAAAAATTTGTAATTAAATTTTAACGTGACTCCGTTACAGGGACACGAGTAATAGTTACTAAAAATTTACTTCAATCAATGTTGTGTATCACACATATATTATTGGTACATTTTTATCATTTGCTACTTGAGTTTTTACTAATGCTATAAGAATCAGTTATCTAACCCTTAATATTGGGAATGATGACTAAACAATTTAAGTGAGAAGAATACAGCTGTCAGCTTTCAAACTCATTTAAATTCAGACATATCGACAAAGTACAAACAACAATTAAAGTGCAAAATAGGACACTGGACCGAGTAGAAACTAGTCAGCAGGAAATGCTGTTTTAAATAATTAAATGGTCATTAATGGAGTTACCAGATACTTTGGTATCCCACAACAAACTCTAAGTAGGAGAACCCGATAATAGACAGAGAGCCGCCCGTTTAAAATCGAAGATTTAAAGGCTAAAATAGAAAAAAAAGATTTATTAATTTTTCAACAACAATTTAACATTGGTGTGCTGTGATTTTACGCACACATTAAAATATCAACACTATTTACGTAAAACAATATTAAATTTAAAGTTGAACATAGTCGCCGTATGTAAATTATAGAGTAAGAAAAAATAAAACTAGAATTAAATCTGTGAGAGCTTAAGGACCTAGTTTTATTTCTTTCCGTTTAATATTAAGGTTAACACCACTGAGGAGAAAGCCGAGGCCTTCGCTACTTCCCTGGAATCCCAGTGTCTTAACAACGAACACGAAGATGAAGATCTTCACTTCACGGAAGAAGTGGAAGAGGACTTCGAGAACGAACTTGAAATAGGATACCTTAAGCCCTCATCTCCGGACGAGGTAAGAGGTATCATCAAAGCACCTATCTGCCAAGAAAGCCCTGACAGGGACAAAATATCCATCCGAGCGATTAAACACTTCCCACTGAAAGCCACATTTTACCTCACAGCCATCACTAACGGGATTTTAAGAACTCATTACTTCCCCAGACTGTGGAAACAAGCAGAGGTGATTAGGATACGGAAACCCAACAAGGACCCCAAATTCCCGCAAAATTACAGGCCCATTACCTTGCTGCCAGCTATGAGTAAGATTGCGGAAAGAATTATACTTAGAAGACTAAGAGAACAAACAAGGGATCTGAACATCATACCCGACGAGCAATTCGGATTCAGAGAAGAACACTCGACCGAAATGCAATTCCTAAGACTCGTCGAAGGAATCACTAGAGGATTCAACAGAAATCAGCCTACAGGTACCATATTCCTGGATGTCGCCAAGGCATTCGACAGAGTATGGCACACAGGGCTGATTTTCAAAATGAAAGATCAAGGGTACACAGCAGGAATGACAAGACTGCTCAGGTCGTACCTCAGCGGAAGGCAATTCCGGATCAAAATGGGACATATCCTATCAAGACCTGGAATTTTAGAAGCGGGAGTACCCCAAGGGGCGGTATTGTCACCACTGCTGTATACCATTTACACAGCAGGCATCCCAAAAATCCAACATACTACCATGTCCCTCTACGCGGACGATACAGCGATATCGGCTACGAGCACACAGCTAGGATTTATATCAAGATATCTACAAGACGCAGCAAAAGACATAGAAGAACGGTGCATAAGATGGAATATAAAGATCAACGCAGAGAAGACACAGGCTGTACTGTTTAAGAAGAGGCATCACCCCCAGGAGAAGAAGTAACGATGAATGGACAGGACATCCCATGGACCGACTCAGCCAGGTACCTAGGAGTTATAATGGACCAAAAACTCACCTTCACCAAACACGTGGACATGGTAGTAAAGAAGACGAAACAAGCAAAATCCAGACTAAATTGCTTAATAGGACGAAGAGCAAACTCCTACTACAGACGAAAATTAGGCTCATACAGGCAGTCATACCCATCGTCATGTACGCCTCGACGGCATGGGTACATACCTGTAAAACAAACATGAAGAAGATCCAGATTCATCAGAACATCAGCCTGAGATGGGCTTCAAATGCCTATAGATTCACTAGAAACGACGTAATCAGGAGGGATCTAGAATCCAAAAGGGTCCTAGACACAAGAAGGCTACTGACACCTTCAAAAAACTAAGGATACATCCAAACATGGAATTAAGAGAATTAACATAATACGAGAGAGCGGATTACAGAAGACACGCTAGACAGCGAAAGGTGCTGGACTATGGCGGCGAGTGACCAAACCTTGGTAGGTGTAAAATTAAAAACACTAGATTTTAGGACTCTCTTTCAGCGTTCTCTTTCAGCATTCTCTTTCAGCATTCTCTTTCAGAATACTCTTACAGAGCGCAACACGCGAATCAGACAAGGACTGAGCAACTGACGACTATCCACCTGGAGGAGAAGGACTCCCCAGTCGAATTGGAAATAAACATCAAAACAGAATTTAAAACTAAAAAAAAAAAAAAACAAAATTGAAGCCTGGAAAATCTTATAACCAAATAAAATTCGTGGCATAGATGAAACTAAACACAATAAGCTCTATCAAAGGTAGAAATTACGCTTTGTTCCTCAGTAATATCACGATTTAATTATTATATCTATTTTAATATTAATATGGATATTACGTAGATCAAAATAGAAATAACGCGTTTGACATATTTGACAGACGTGTGTAAAGTAGACATTCACACACTGGTGGAAAGTAGATTCTTATTCACACGCGCGTGATATAGGGCTCTTTCTGTAAGACTAAATAGTGCGATATATGTCACTTTCCTAAGTAGTCGTAGAAAAAATAGTTTTCAAATATTCTTTTATATGTATTAATTGCAAAGTCGTCTTTTGTGTCAAAAATTTCTTCATATCTTTAATAATAAATTAGCTATCGATAAATTACGCACTGATAAGACAACCTCAGCATATTTATAATATGCTAACAAGTTGGTATCGTTCGATATTTTTTTATTTGAATAGTTTTAATATCACTATTTTAAGATTCAAGAGTAACTATCATCAAGCAAACATTCTTGGCCAGCAAACATTCTTGGCCACATTCTAGGGTTAAATATATAAAACTAAAATAAAAACAGGGTGTTCTAATAAAAAACTATATAGGTATGCCAAGCAAATACTCTGTATATTTAAAAATATTTATACGTTATACCTTTCTCAAATCCATGAAACTTATATTTAAATCTTGATTTCGTGTCTATAACACAAAATTAGATATCAAGCAATTACGGACTAATGGAGCACCCCGTATATATATTTTTTTAATATTTACATTCACAAATAAGCAACACGAAAGCATTCTCTTTTCACTACAATACACATACAACAAAACAAATAAAGGCGAAATCGTATGAATAATGATGAAATGTGCTTGGGAAACATTTCAATTTATAGAAATCGCTTGGAGCACTGTATGTGATATCAAATATTACTTAGTATTTACTCTTTTGTTTCTGTATTATTACTTTGTTTTTATTAAAATGTACTTTTACGTTCTCTTTACGAATTATTAACTTTCAATCCTGCCAACGATATACCCTAAATCACAGCAGTTATACCAACATACGAAATTAATATCAACTGTGTGTACCTCAGTCGTCGGTACCACTTAAGATAACATCCATATCTCCAACGTGGCTGTCCAAATATTTTTCGCGTATGAAATTTATGTATTTGCCGGCGTTTTGCAAGCACCGAACACGTGCTTTTTCAATTTGTTCAGACATCAGCAACATTGAAATATAAATAATAAACGAGCAGGTATGTATATGTAAACTCTGTATATTAATTTTTACGTTCACAATGGCCGTACAGTATATGGGATAGAGTGGGACATCTAAGAATGAAGAAGTACAAATTAAAAAAAAAATAAACATTTAAATATAAAGGGTGACCCACAAAAAGCGTTTCTAAAGTAAGCTATGAAAATTGTTAAAACCGAAATAAAACACCTGCATAATAAAATGTGATTCCACAATTAGAATGTACTCACTATTCTGTGATATTTGTAGTGTTTTTACTAAAGCAGTATCACCAGTATTCTTACTTCTTACTATTGCATTGGCTGGTTGTACACCTTTACTTATCCCAGCTTACAAAGTTCCGAAATTTTATGCAGAAAATAACGTAAATTCCGACACAGTATACCCTTGTTGTTTATTTAAATCAGAATACTTCATATAGCATACTAAATTGATCTTGGATTTTTGGAAAAAGCAGCAAGAGAAAAACTAACCCTCCTTAACGAAGCTATCAGCATTACTGACGTCAAAAAAAACCTATTTAACCCATGGTTACGCGAAACCTACAGAAACCAACTTTTCCAATGAATATGCTTAATTACACATTATGTCAAATATAATTTATATTTTTAAAACATTAGAAGAGTTTATTTGACTACATATTAAAAAATACTTATCCAATTTTGATTATGATCAAGAGAATTTAAAATGTGTTTTCAATTTTATTAACAGACTTAAAAAAAAGGAGGAGGTTCTCAATTCGTCGTTTTCTTTTAGTATGTTCAGTTTGTTCAGTTTGTTCAGCGATTATTCTTTACCACGTTGTCCGACCTTAATGGTTATTAGAAAGGGGGTACCTCAGGGGTGGTTTCACGTAAATTTGGTCAAGATCTGGTGATTGTAACTATGAGAAAATTAGCAAACTCAATTTGTAATGGCATCTATACGATTTTGAAGTAATTTTTTTAAAATAACTTTTATGTAAGTAATATTTATAATTGTATATCTGTTTACTAATTACAATAAAGTTACCAAAATTTATCATGCAGACTTGAAATTTCAGACTAAAATACATTTTTGTTATACTGGGTAATATTTTATTATTAATTTTCCTTTCCTTTACTATAATAAATTATTATTATAATATATTCTCCTTACTTCAACATTCGCATTCTGGGTGAAAAACTCTTTAAATTTAAACCAAGAATTGGGACCGAATTGCATATCATTTGAAAGCACGTGGAGTTCTTTAAACAAAGTTGTACAGATTTTTAAATTTAAATAAATCTTATTAAGTGTAAAGTCAAATTTACTTACTATGTGCTCATCTTTTTTCTCATGTTTAAAATGCGCTATGTTACCTTCTAAATTCACCTGTAATTCCAGTCCGCGTTCAAGTCCAACGGTTGAAACAAAATTAAACTTACCAAGGCAATTTGCAATTTACGAAGACGTAGAGGTAACGTAAATAGTTTCGAATGTCTAATGAACAGCCCTGGTTTCGGTTTTACCCTGAGTGGAGAAGGCATAGTCCTTCTAGTATCAAGATTAAAAGTATTCAATTGCGGCCGCCAGACCGAATTTAAGTGCCAGATAAATATGCTTCTTTGTCCCTAACCTAAATCAATCAAACAATAGGAATGAAATGGGACAACGAATACTTCTGCTTATACCATTTAATAGGTTCTTAAACCTTTCCCTTTGGTGAAAACTAACAATGTACCCTAAACTTTATTTTAACACAATTATGGTAAAAAATTCTAACATAAAATATCAATAATCACAATTATCCAAAATTATGTAACGTTATAGCATACATATATTTTTATATACACAGTAAGGATGTCGCTTAAAACAAAAGGAAAAAAAGAAATATATAGGTATATATTTAGTCAGTTATGGAACACAAATAAAAATAAATGTCCCCAGGACAGAAATCAAAAGGTATGTTAAAGCAAAAAATTCCCTGCCGCAAGTGAAAGTAAAACTTAATATAAGAGGGCCATGGCCTTACTACCGGAACTCGTCACCAGCCCTGTAACCCAAAATTACGCCATCAGCCGGAAGAACGTCATATTCATATCTTCTAAAACAGTTTTCACCACGAAAGCTCGACTGTTACCCAAAATCACCAAGGCAGACTATACAGAGCCGACACTTGACTTTTCCAAACGTCAAGCCATTTAGGTCCAGCTGTTTACGTCAAAACAGTATTTAATATAAACATATAATGTAATATAATATATACGAGTAGTATTATAACTTAGAATACTAAAATACATGAGGTTAAACAATTAACCACAAAAAAGGTAAATGGAGGTCTCACTAAAACTATCTTAATTACACATAATATATTTTTAAAACAATTGTCTAGAGATTCTATAACCTCAGTGAAATATAGTTTTTACCAACCTAAAACTAAGGGATATGGCGACAACAAAAAGACATATTTGCACATCAGTTAATTTTGTTGACAAAGTGAACCTAGATAATATTGAAACCTCGGGTCCTTTTATACATCATGTTCGTGGATTAATCACCCGACTATCAAAAAGTAAGTAATTAGATCACACTGCCGAACTTGGGTCATACACATTAACAAAAAAACTAAAGAAAATAAAAACAAACTCTCTCTGCTGATAAAGCACTAGGGATTACAAGATTGGCAAAAAATAAGAAGTTTAAATGTATCACCAAATATAATAAACGAGTCAAAAACTCGTAAGTTCTGATTTAAAATATCAATTACCGGGCCACAAATCTCACTACAGTGAAACCCGAAGAATTTCCACTGGCAGCTGTAAAATGAAAACGCAAGAACTACCCCAGGCACTCTAGGACAGAACTATTGTCTCAAGTGACATTATGACTATTACCACAACAAGTAAATGTTTGTAATAAAATAAACAAAATTGCTAAAATCTGCGTGCCACCACGATAGGCATCGAAGGAAACCTATCGACAGGCGTAAGCTGGAAACCAGAGAATCACCATAGGCACTCTAGGAGAGAACTCTAGTTTCAAATGACACAAAACATTTACAATTACAAGGTACTTACCATATAAAAATTTTAACCTAATAAAATACATAAAGATACTGCCAAAATATACAGAGTGTGTCCAATAACAAATTCAATTGCCAAAATAAGTTGCCAAAATGTTTGGACGAATTCAGATCGTAACAGCACCTCCAATTTCCACGCGATGTTTTAGATTTTACTGAAAAAGTTCTCGTACATTTTGGAGTATTTCCGGAGCAATTTGGCGACATTCGTTTATCATCCGTTGTCATAAATAACCGAGTTGTAAAATTTCAATTTGTGAATCATTGACCGCAAATCGTTAAATTATATGCTTTGGTAAGTTGTATGAAGTTGAACAGGGTTTCATTCATTCATTTCGGATTAGGTTTCAGTACAAGTCATGAAAACACGACGTGGATATAGTCGAAAATTTGCATCAGACCCGCCACTGGTTACATGAGGTTTTCAGTTGTCAAGATACCCTATACCATCAAATGTTTGCTTTGATGTATGTATTTTTTTATTTGCCATTAGGATTTTTACTTACTATTCTTCTTAGCTTTATAA